GATAAAGAGTTTGATGCCCAGGCAGTACTTACATCGAAACTAAAGCCATTTCTTTTGTGTGGCAAATAGGGACAATTTCTCTTGTGTGTCTGCAGAGGTGTTTTCAGGAGGTTGTATGTTTGCTTTTTGGACATTTTGTCTCTTTTTGGAGTTGTCCTTGTTTGCTCCTAGGTTGTTTTGTGTCTTCCCGGTGTTTGTGCCTGTCACTCTGAGATTGTTTTGTGTCCGTGCAGCGTCATTTTGTGTCTCCTGAGGATGTTGTATCTCTCAGGTTGTTGTGTGTCTCTTGGAGGTTGTTTCGTGTCTTGGTGGTGTCCTTTTGTAGTTTTTTTGGAGGCGTTTTTGCATCTCCGCCGTCAGTGCGTTTCTCTCTGGGGTTGTTTTGAGTCAGTGTGTTTCTTTGTGGTTACTCTTTGTGTCTGAGGTTTTGTGTTTTCTTTTGTGTCTCTGGTGTGCATTTTTGTCTCCTGTTGATGTTGTTTTCGGTTTCCAGTGTGTGTTTGTGCCTCTCTTAGGTTATTTAGTGTCTTTTTTGTTATCCTATTTGTATTTTGTGTGTTCTTTTAATTATTTAATGTCACTTTAAAATTGTTTTGTGTCATTTTGTGTCACTCTGTTATTATTACATACCTCTAATCCTGTTTTGTGTGCGTGTGTGTGTTTTTGCGAGTGTGTGTGGTTTTTAAAAATTATATATTTTGTGTCTCTGGTGTACATTTGTATCTCTCTGAGATTGTTTTGTGCCTTTTTAGTGTTGTTATCCATCCCTGGTGTATATTTGTGTGTCTGATGTTGTTTTGTGTTTTTAATTGTGTGTCCAGTTTACATTTGTGTGTCAGTGGCTGTTTTGTGTCTTTCTGATGTTCTTTTGTGTGTTTTTAGTGCTGTTTTGTGTCTCTAGTGTACGTTTGTGTCTCTGGTGTATATTTGTGTCTCTAGGGCTTTTTGTTGTGCCTCTTTGATGTTGTTTTGTGCCTCTTTATATTTTGTGTGTGTGTTTGTGGTCATCTTTTTCTATACTAGTCATCATCCAGTCTGAGTTAGGCCAATTTAATGACGTGGTTTCTTGTAAAATCTATTCTTCTAGTGAAACTGATGAGTCGTTGTTTATTCGCGGGTTCACCTTTTGCATTGTGTTCACAGTGTCTTGCTATAACAGGCTAAATGTCTGCTGTTATTTAAAGGGATTTGAATCACTGCTGTTATTGCAGTATTTTAGGAAATGTCCAAACTTGTTATTATAGTAAAGGTGATAAAGAGACATGGGGATGAAGAATGGCTTCAGAGACAAGCTAAAGTGCAATAGCTCATTAATGATAGCTGCAATCATTAAATATATTAAAATCTTGTTTATTTTGACCAGGAAAGAGTCACATGACTTTTAGGGGGCATAAAACAAAGAGGAGGGAGTCAGTGACACGACCAGACTGAGTCTTTGGGTTAAAACAGGCGTTTTTCTCACACGCTCTCTGCCAGAAACTTGACCACAGCTGTGAAATGTCTGAGTGTGTTGGCGCAGAACTACACCCACACATAAAACACACATTTCTGTCACTTTAGAGGACCTTACATTCACTGCTACTCGTCTCAACTAAGAATTTCGGCACATTTCTGTTCATCCACACAGCGTTACAGCGACATACAGGTTCATACACAGACACATACACACAAGGAATGAACAATGATTTCTTATCTGAGTTGTCTGCTGATTTCTGTCAGTTTTCCAGAGAACTCCCCCTCCCCTCTCGGTATGTGTGTGAACACAAAGGCCTCTCTGCTTTTCACAAAAGAATGAAGGCTGCTTTTTGTTTTTGCTTCGTTTTATATGTAAAATAGATGTAACAGACGAATACAAAATGAAACAAAACGTTTACAGTGCTATGATAAAGTATTTCCCCCCTTCCTTAATTATAATTTTATTTGCATATTTGTCACACCTGCATGTTTCAGGTCATCAGACAAATTTGAATCTCAGTCAAATGTAATCCAGTGACTTTATTTTCTAAGACTCCAGAGAATCCAGTGAGAGCCGTTATCCACAAATGGAGAAAACTTCCCAGGAGTGGTTGGCCTACCAGAATTACTCTATTGATGACTCATCCAGGCCTCACTCAGTCATGGTCAGTGTTCATGGTTCAACAATAAGAAAAGTGACAAAACAAAAATGGCATCCATGGGTGAGTTCTTAGCCAAAACCACTGCTGACCATAAAAGTTCCACAAAGGGTCATCTAACTTTCCCCCAAACTCCCCAAGAGTTTAAGAAAATATTATGTGGACGAGACAAAAGTGGAACTTTTTGGACGGTTCAAGTCCCGTTACATCTGGCGTAAAAAGTAACAGCATTTCATAAAAACAACATCATACCAACAGTCAAACAAGGTAGTGGTAGTGTGATGGTCTGAGGCTGTTTTACTGCTGCAGGATCTGGATGATTTGTCATAACTGATGAAACCATAAACTGCTCTTTACCAGAAGATCCTGAAGGATTATTTTGCAATGTCAAGCTCAAGCACACTCGTGTTATAAGCCCACCTCTGAATGATTCAGAAAACAAAATTACGTTTTCGCACTGGCCTATAGTCAAAGTCTGGACCCATCATTGAATACGACTGAACTAAAACAAGGTTTTTAAAAACCTTTAGAGTAATTTTAATTGGTTTCTCTTTGAGGTAATTTTGTATCTGTTTGTGATCATATTGTGTCTCATTTTTAAAAAAATGTCTTTGTTGTTATTTTGTTTCTTTTTGGTTGCTCTGCATCTTTTTCAGGCTGTTTTTAGTCTAATGAGGTTGTTTTCCATGGATTGGATTTGTGTCATATCACTGCTTTGTGTTTTATCGTGTATAGTTAACTTCTCTCTGTGAATAAATGATTACCTTTCCATCAGTGAATTACTAATTACTTTCACTTGGGGATCTGAATTAGGCACTCATGATCCCTGCAGCAACATGGAACATGAAGGGGCTTTTTGGTGCCTGGATTCTTTGATTTGAAAATTCTCTACAAATAACACACTGGATGAATCTAATCAGGATCACAACACTTGATTATAATCCTAATGGAAGAAAAAAGAAGTCTAAGATGAACTACTGTTACTAAAAAACTAGCTTGTCAAAAATAGGAGAGTGTTCAACTCCACGAGATAACACCTTCCTTTGGGATTCTTCTCCATAGCTGACATGGCTGCGTGACATTTCTGCACATTCACGCTGCTAAATGTCAGAGATGTGGTACTAGATTAAGCTCAGGTGATTGAGGAGTCAGCTGAATTCTGTCATGTTCATCGGACTATTTAGATATGAATTTTGACACATTGTATTATCCTAAACTGACCACGTGGCAGCTATGGCAGCAATATTCAGACAGGCTTTGCCATTTAAACAATGATCGATCGGTACTAAGGAGCACAAAGTGTGCCAAAGAGCATTCGCTGCACCATTAAACCACCAGCAGCGCTCCAGACTGTTGACACAAGGCTTTGGCTCAAGGTTGGACGTGAGCGTTGTGAGCCTGAGCTGCTTTTCTGCTCAGGTCAACAAACGGCTTATCTGAGTTACTGTTGCCTCTCTGGCAGCTCCATCACTTCAGTCTTTACACTATTCTGCGTAAACTAGAGACACTGTCATGATCCTCAGTTTATGGTGTGCGAGCTGAGAGCTGAGATCGCAAGATGTCTGACTGCACAACGCTGCTTTGAAATCATGGATGCTAAACACACACACACACACACGCAGGTAAACCCAGCGGGAGGATGTCGACCCATCACTCAACATATTAATTTCACTGACTAACCCTCTCTCTCTGTGCGTACCTCAGTGGAGAATTGACATCAAACTCATTTAACCTTGTATCAGGAAGTCAATTCTATTTCAGCTCAGGAAATGAAGCAGACAGACGGGAGGAGATGAGGTGAAGCTTCTCATCCTCGGCTCATGGGAAAACTTCAC